ACACCGGTTTCAAAATTTCCAGTTTGCAGGATCCAGCCGCCTCCTCTTTACCATGGACGTGCAATCCCCTTACATGTCCATTCCCCACCAGGATGGTCTCAGGGCTCTCTGCTTCTTCCAGGAGCAAAGACCTGAACCACCACCCTCCTCCTCCGTTTGGCCGAGCCCGTCCTCACCCTCAACAACTTCTCTTTCAACTCCACTCATTTTCTTCAGATCAGAAGGGTGGCCATGGGAACCTGCATGAGCCCCAGTTATGCCTGTCTCTTTGTGGGGTATGTGGAACATTCCTTGTCCCAGTCCTATTCTGGCCCCCACCAACAACTCTTTCTCCGATATATCGATGATATCATCGGTGCTGCTTCCCTCTCTCATCCAGAATAGGAAAAGTTCATTGATTTCCAATTTCCACCCTGCCCTCACTTTCACCTAGTCTATTTCTGACTCTTCCCTTTCCTTCCTTGACATGTCTGTTTCCATTTCTGGGGATAGACTGGCCACTAATATCCGCTATAAATCCACTGACTCCCACAGCTACCTGGACTATACATCCTCGCCCCCTGCTTCCCATGAAGACTCCATCCCATTCTCTCAGTTGCTCTGTCTCCATCATATATGTTCAGATGAGGCCTACTTCAACAAGGGAGCCTCCAAAACATCCACCTTCTTCCTCAACTGAGGATCCCCACCTCTGTTGTCAACAGGGCCCTCAACCGGGTATGACCCATCTCCTGCACTTCCACCCTCACTCTGTCTCTTCCCTCACGCAACAGCGATAGGGTTCCCCTTGTCCTTACCTACCATCCCACCAGCATCTACATTCAGAAGATCATCAGACACCATTTCTGCCATCTCCGGCAAGATGCCACCACCAGACCCAGATTCCCCTCCCCTTCCTTGTCCACCTTCCACAGTGACCGTTCCCTCTGGGACACCCTGGTCCACTCTTCCTTCACTCCCAACAGCCACCACCCCCCTCCACAGCTCTATAGCACCTTCTGCTGCAACTGGTGAAGGTGTAACACCTGCCCATTTACCTCCTCCCTCCCCAGTATCCAAGGGCCCAAACATACCTTCCAAGTGTAGCAACACTTCACCTGCACTTCCCAGAATCTAGTCTACTGCATTCGCTGCTCACAATGTGGTCTCCTCTACATTGGTGAAACAAAGGTGACCGCTTCTGCAAAAAAGACCCTGAGCTTCCAGTTGCCTGCCTCTTTAAGACCAAATGTTCTGTGGCCAACGTCTCTGTCTCAGGTTTGCTGCAGTGTTCCAGCGAAGCTCAGTACAAGCTGGAAGAACAACACTCATTTCCGCTTGGGGACCCTGCAGCCCTCCAGACTCAATATCGAGTTCAGTAATTTTAGGGCCTAAACTTTCCCATGTCCTAGTCCCTACCCCACACACCAGGCCTTGTTATCACACAGCCTGCCATTACACACTACCTATTGTTAGTCACTAACAGTCACCATTAACAGCCTCCTAGCCAGATCATTATCAACACTTTTTCTATCCAACTGCTTTTCTCTCTCTTTGGGCTCTGTCTTTTATCCTATTGTTTACTCCCTACCCCATCCCCCTTCCTATCTTCTACATATAAACCAATGTTTTCCTAGTTACCATCAGTTCTTAGGAAGCGTCACTGGACCCAAAACGTTAACTCTGACATTTTCTTCACAGATCCTGCCAGACCTGCTGAGCTTTTCCAGCAACTTTTGTCTTTGTTCCTGAGTTAAAACATACCTCCTTATCTCTAAACCATTTGCAATTCCTGGACAGGAATGTTATGAATCTGCTCAAGAATACACAAATCCAGCAGAAAAGAGAATTGGTTTGGAAGTGATGAGATAACAAGGTGTAGAGCTGGATGAATACAGCAGGCCAAGCAGCATCATAGGAGCAGGAAGGCTGACGTTTCGGGCCTAGACCTGTTCTGTCATTTAAATATCTTGCAGTACAGCCAACCACTTTTGAAATCAGCTGTTCCTAATCTCTCCCCATTTGAGAAATGTTGCTGCGAAAAGATAAGTTTGTAAGGTAAGCATGGGGTTAGGGTGCAGATTAGTTATGGGATTTGAGCTTGGTAGGGTACTCAGGTGACAGGTATATTGTGGCCTAGATAAGCAGAATGCTAGGTAAGTAGGTTCCAAGCTAAGCAGTGTGTCAGGAAGAAATGGTCCTAGATTCCATAGTAGCATTGGAATGTATTTCCAGAAGTCAACTGTTAAGGACAGTTAGCCTGGTTGTTGACACATTTCATTTAGATCATGGATGATCTGTGTTTCAATTGCATTTTCTCAACTCTAGTCCATATTTCTTGAGCTCTTATCTAATAGAGATCAATCAATCTCAGTCTTGAGCATTTTAACTGACCTAGTATCGACAGGCTGTGAAAGAGTTTGTTCCAGATTTCCACAACTCTTTGTGCAAGTATGTTTTCTTATTTTGTTTCTAAAAGGACCAACTCCAATACCTAAAGCAGAGATATTTTTTGCAAATGGTATATGGTATACTAACATGGCTTGAGGATTAGTGAATAGACAGAAAAAACAGAGAACATGCATTGCCTTTGAGTATAGGAGTTGGGATGACATGTTGAGGTTATACAGGATGTTGGTGAGGCCTCTTCTGGAGTAATGTGTGCAGTTCTGGTCACCCTGCTATAGGAAAGATATTATTAAGCTGGAAAGGTTTCAGAAGGGATTTACAAGGATATTGCTGGGAATGGAGGGTATGAATTATAAGGAGAGATTGGACAGGATAGGACTTTTTTCTGGAATGTAGGAGGTTAAGGGATGATCCTAAAGAGGTTTATAAAACCACGAGGGGTATAGATAAGTTGAATAGCAGGTGTCTTCCCTAGGTTAGGGGATTTCGAGACTATTTCGATATTTTTAAGGTGAGAGGAGAAATATTTTCAAAAAACATGTGCGGCAATGTTTTACACGGTGAGTGGTTCATGTGTGTAATGAGCTTCCTCAGGAAGTGGTGGATGCGGTTACAGTAACAATAATTAAACTACATTTGGATAAGTACACGAATAAGAAATATTTGGAAGGATATGGGCCAAGCACAGGCCTTAGTTTGGTTGGCATGGACTTGTTGGACCGAAGGGTATGTTTCTGTGCTGTATGCTCAATAATTATAAATACGTCATTCTCAGTTTACAGACTGTGACTGTAATGTACTGCAAGTGGTGTATCGCAAGGATCAGTGTTTGGGCTACAACTATTTATAATATATACCAATGATTTGGATGTGGGGGATTAAATGCAAAATTTTCAAGTTTGTTGATTGCATGAAACTCGGTGGGAATGTACATTGTGAGGATGCCAAGAGACTTCAGCGGGATGAGATTACTGAGTGGCAAAAACTTGGGAGTTGGAGTGTAAAATGGTAATATAGGAAATTATTCACTTTGCTAGAAAGAACAGAAATGCAGAGCAACTCTTAAATGGGGAGAGACGAGAGGTGTTGATTTCAAAAACAAACTGAATAAGTGTGTTCATAAGTGATTAGAAGTGAACATGCAGGTGCAACAAGCAGTGAGGAAGGCAAAAGGTACATTAGCTTTAATTGCAAGGTGTTTTCAATAGATGAGTGTCGCTATCGTATAGAAATTTGATGAGCATTGTGTGCAGTTTTGGTCTCCTTGTGTGTGGAAGCATGTACTTGTCATTACAGGGAGTGAAATGAAGTATCACTGAACTGATTCCCGGAATGATAGGATTGGTGCATGGGGAGACCATGAGCAGAGTGGCCTGTATTCTCTCGTGTTGAGAACAATGAGATGTAATTGAATCAAAAAACATATAAGTTTTACAAGGCTCAACAGGGTTAGTTACAAGACTCTCCCCCTGGCTGAGAGCATTAAGTAGCAGGGACCCAGTCTCAGAATAAAAGGCGGGTCAATTAGGACTGAGATTAGGAGGAATTTCGTCATTCACTTGACTGATAAATCTTTGAAATTCTCTATTTGAAGCTTAGGTATTGGTTTCATTCAAGACAGACAGGAATAGATTTCATATTACTAACAATATTAAGCAATATTGGGGCAGTACAGTAGAAGCTGATTGAGGTAGATCAACTGTGGTCTAGTTGAAAGGCAGAACAGGCATGAGGGGCTAAGTGGCCTCCTCTTGCTCCTATTTCCTATGCTCCCAAGTGCACATATTGCTTCTTATGTGAATTCTGCTGCCATTAACAAAATTAGCCCCTCAGCCTCGCTAGGATGCAAATTTGTTTCTAACAGTGAGCTCATCCTCCACCTCCCACACCACCACCCCCCCACCACCATGACTACATTATGTCTCATTATCTCTCTTCTGAAATTAGTTTCTGCACCCTTTTGTTTAAACCTATCAAATATTATTTTTTAATTAAAAAGCATTTCAGAAATCAAGTTCTAAATAATCAACATTAATGGGAACTTTCCCTTTTATGTTAGAAATCTTTATTTTAGAAGTCTAACTGTAATTCTAACCTAATACGCACACAGAAATGGCATTTGTACACCTTATTCAACAACCTATGTAATTACCTTTTCCCAAACGTCAGCATGTGTTGTGTCATGCAAAGTTATACAGCAGAATCATTCAAAAAATGCATAAACTCTCAATTGAATAATACAGCCGTGCATAACATAGGTTACATTAAAGAATAAAAATAACGATTTTGGTAAAGTATTCTAAGGGACCAGGACTGTGAGACAAGTTATATGCACCATTGATTGCACTTCTGGATTGAGAAAATGATGGCCAAGTTAACGTCTTTGGTTTTCCACATGGAATCACACTGGAGCATCTCGGAGCCAGACTGAGCGCAGTGGCCGGAACACATGCTGTATAAACATATCAGTTTAAAATTTCCAGTCAGGGAGAGAAGAGTCCACTTGATTCTGCTGATCCAGTGCAGATGAAAGTCACGTGAGAGTTCTACAAATGAAAGTCAGTGAGGGTTCTACAGTGCAATCAACATAACTCACTCGCTCTGTCCAAATCATGGAGGTGCAGCTTTTCACCATGACCTGCAGCGTCTTGCTGCTATTGGCTTCACCATTCAACATGGCACAGCGAACAAATGTTTCTCCATATCCAAGTATGAAGAATAGAATTTAGCTTCATTAGCTATAAAAAACAATGATTATGAACAGTTGTTGGGTTACAGAAACATAATTAAGATGTGCCTTTTTAAAGGAAAAGCCAAGCCTTCATGGACCTAATTTTGGAATTGGATTTTAGTTGGATAAACAGGTTTGTCACAACCTCCTGTGTTAACAGCAAGGAGCTACAGCTGGAGGACTAGAATTTAGTTTTTGCACTGCTGGTAAATCAGCAGAAAAGAAAAATATACAAAAACGTGGCATGGTCTTTTTAAATTGTTCTGAGATTGGGCATTTCAAGTATGGCAAACATTTTTTGCTTTCATGAAGCCGATTATTAACATAGAGTCATAGAGTAATACAGCATGGAAACAGGCCTTTCGTCCCAACTGGTCTATGCCAACCATGGTGCCCACTCAGCTAGTTCCAATTGCCCGCATTTGGTCCACATCCCTCTAAACCATTCCTATCCATGCACCTATCCAAATATTTTTTTAAATGTCACTATTGTACCTGCCTCAACCACTTTCTCTGGCAGCCCATTCCATATATGCACCACTCCCTGCGTGAAGAAGTTGCCCCTCAGGTCCTTTGTAAATCTTTCTCATCTCACCTTAAACCTATACTCTCTAGTTTTCAATGCCCCATCGCTGGGAAAAAGACTATATGCATTCATCCTATCTATGCCCCTTCAATACACTTCAATAAGGTCACGCCTCATTCTTGTACATTCCAAGGAATAAAGTCCTATTCTGGCCAATCTCTCCCTATAAAAAGACTTTCTGTGTGGAGTTTGCACATTCTCCCCGTGTCTGCGTGGGTTTTCTCCGGGTGCTCCGGCTTCCTCCCACAATCCAAAGATGTGTAAGATAGGTGGATTGGCCATGCTAAATTGCCCATAGTGTTCAGGGATGTGTAGATTAGGGAGATGGGTCTGGGTGAGATGCTCCGAAGGTCGGTATCGACTTGTTAGGCCAAAGGGCCTGTTTCCACACTGTAGGGATTCTATGAAACTCACGCCTACTAGTTCTGGCAATATCCTCATAAATCTTATTTGCACACTTTCCAGTTTAACTATGCCTTTCCTATAATAGGGAGACCAAAACTGTACACAATACTGCAAATGCAGCCTCACCAATGACTTATACAGCTGTAACATTACCTCCCAACTCCTATACTCAATGCCTTGACTGATGAAGGCAGCATGCTAAATGCCTTCTTCACCATCCTGTCCACCTGTGACGCCACTTTCAATGAACTATGTACTTGTACTCCTAGGTGCCTCTGATCCACAACATTCCTCAGGACCTTACGATCTACTGTATAAGTCCTACCTTGCTTTGACTTTCCAAAGTGCAACACCTCACACTTATCTGTATTGAATTGCTTTTGCCAATCCTTAGCCCACTTCCCCATCTGATCAAGATACCTCTGTAATTTTTGATAACCTTCCTTGTTATCAAGGATACCTCCTAATTTTGTATCATCTGCAAACTTACTAATCATGCCTTGTACATTCACATCCAGGTCATTTATGTAAATAACAAATAACGAAGGTCCCAGCACCGATTCCTGAGGCACACCACTAGTCACAGGCCTCCAGTCCGAGAAACAATTTTCAACCAACACCCTCTGCTTCCTACCATCGAGTAGCTTCCCCTGGATCCTGTGCGACCTGAATTTCATGACTAGTCTACCATGCGGGACCTTGTCAAGGGCGTTACTAAAGTCCATATAGACAACATGCACTGCCCTATTCTCTTGGTTATCTCTTCGAAAAACTCTATAAGATTTGTCAAACATGATTTCCCGCACACAAATCCATGCTGACTATCCCTGATCAGACCTTGACTATCCAAATGTTGGTTGATCCTGTCCCTCAGTATCCCCCCCAATAACTTGCCTACCACTGATGTCAGGCTCACTGGCCTGTAGGTCCCTGCCTTGTCTTTGCTACCTTTCTTAGACAATGGAACAACAACAATTAGCCACCCTCCAGTCTTCAGGAACTTCACCACTGGCGAAAGATGAAACAAATATCTCTGCAAGGGCCTGTGCAATTTCTACCCTAGCGTCCCACAACATTCGAGGATAGAATTGATCAGGCCCAGGGGACATATCCACCTTAATGCACGATAGGCCTGGAAACACCTCCTGTCTGGTAATATGTATGCAGTCTAAAACATCCCCACTTGTTTCCCTTATTTCCTTAGCATCCATGATTCTCTTCTCAGTAAACACTCAGGAGAAATATTCATTAAAAATCTTCCCAATCTCCTTTGGCTCCACACACGATGGCCATGTTGATCTTTGAGGGGACCTGTCCTCTCCCTAGCCAACCTTTTACTCTTAATACAGCTATAGAACCTCTCAGAATTATCTTTAACCTTATCTGCCAGATCCATCTTATACCCTCTTTTTTGCTCTTCTGATTTCCCTCATAAGTGTGCTCCTACACTTTTTATTGTCATCTAGGGATTCATTTGAACCTGATAGCTTAAACCCCATGTATGCCGCCTTCTTTTTCCTGACCAGAGCCTCAATATCCCTTGTCAGCCAGGGATCCCTAAACCCGTCAGCTTTTCCCTTCACTCTAACAGGAACATACTGTGCCTGGACTCTTGATATCACACTTTTAAAAGCCTCCCATTTGCCAGTCGTTCCTTTTCCTTCAAAAAGATTCACCCAATCGACCTCTGCTAGATCCTGCCTAATGTTCCCAAAATTGGCCCTGCTCCAGTTTAGCACATTAACGTGTGGACCTGTCCTATCTTTTTCCATAACTATGTTAAAGCTAAGAGAGTTATGGTCACTATGCTTATTATTTTTTTTAAATTTTAGATTCATTTGTGGGATATGGGCATCATCAGATAGGCTTGAACTTATTATCCTTCCCAAATAACCATGGAGAAGTGGTGGTGAACTGCTTTCTTGAACTCCTGCAGTCCATTTTGTTTGGGTACCTGTGCAGTACTGTTAGAAAGGGAAGTCAGGATTCTGACCCATGGACAGTGAGGAATTGCAATAATATTCCCAGTGGCCTTGAGGGGAATTTGTAAATGGTGGTGTTCCCATACACTTTTGCCCTTGTCCTGTTAGGATAGAGTGCTGTCGAAAGAGGCATGGCAAGTTGCTGAAGCATATCTTAAAGATGGTATATAGTTATGCCACTGCCCTTACCAGCAGTTGCACGGTCAGTCTGACAGGCAGATCCATCAGAAATAACTAGATCAGTCAGTCGTGCAGCTATTGAGCAATTTGTGCCGATGACAGTGAAGATCTTCAGCCAAGAGATCTCCATGCATTCTATGCCCATGCTGCCCTTGGTGTTTCTTCCATGTTGTCTCCAACTTCAAGATGTTTTGATTCATTAGCTGAAGGAGATTTAATCAGCAGGAGGTTTCCTTATCAAAGTTCATTAATTTTGAGGATTCCTAGGAAATATCCTTTCCAATTGTATACAACTGTGCTGCCTTGTTGTGAATCTGTCCTCTGGTGGGACAGGTTGTATGCTGCATGATGGAGGGATCCAGGACAATGTCTGTAGGGAATTATTTGATAACTATGACTATGATTTTTAGAACAACTTGTGGAAAAGCTCTCCCAATCTTCACACAAGACACAGACATTAATAAGGAGGACATTACGTGTTGGACTGCAATGTCTGTCTGTCTTCTTTCTGATGGCAATTAATGATGCCAGGTGTTCTGTTTGGTTTTATTGTAACTCAAATTTTTCTGCAGCAGTTCAATACAACTGAGCATTTTCATTGGTTATTTCGGAGGGCTGTTAAGAGTCTACCATATTACTGTGGTTCTGAAGTCATCTACGGTTAACATCAGGTAAGGACAGTAGATTTCCTTCCTGAAATGGCATTTGTGAAGAAGATGAGACTTAATAAGCAATCTGATAGTTTCATAACTACCTGTAATTACACTTCTTTTATCCCAGCTTTAATTGGTTAATAGAAATTAAATTCTTCCATCTTGCTGCATGTGAAATTTGAATTCTTGATCATGAACTTTAAACTATGACTCAAGATTACTTGTACAGTAAGGTATTCACTATACTCCCCTTTCTGTGAGTGTTTATTTATAATCTGCAAACTGTGGTGACATTATATCTACTTCATAATTCTCAATAATAAGATACTTAGAAGAAAAGCTTTGTCAATGTTACAGAATCACATTACATTTCTGTAATTTGCAGCCAATGGGTTGTTCAGATTTAGAGGAGAATTCCTGTTAATTATTTGTAACTTAAATGACTCACTACCTCTCCCTTCTCCAAGTCATAAGTTTCTGACTTGTCCAGGTCTTGATGTGTAGGGCCATAGACTGCTTCAGTATCTGAAGAGTTGTGAATGGTGCCAAATATTGTGCAAACACCAGCAAACATCCCCATTTCTGACTTTATGGAGGAGGGAAGGTCATTGAGAAAGCTGCTCAAGGTGGTTGGGCTGAAGGCCCTACCCCAAGGAACCCCCTACAGTGATATCTTGTGGCTGAGATAATTGACCCCCAACAATCACAATCATCTTTCTTTGTGTTAGGTGCAACTCCAACCAGCTGGATTTCCCATTAATTTGCATTGACTCTAATTTTTTGAGGGACTTTTGATGCCACTGTCAGTCAAATGTCAAGATTGATGTCAACGGTAGTCAGCTTTGGGTCTTAAGCTTTATCATTCAAGAAGTTGAGCTGCAGAACAAAAATGACAAGGCTTTATGTCATGATCACCATAGTGGGGACTGGGGCCGAGCTAGCAAGGTGCGTTTAGCTAATCTTGATTCTCCTTTAGTAGGGCATATTCTGAGCTGCAGTCAGCAGAATTCACATGGAAGTCAGGGTCAGAAATGGGTTGCCATTCAGCCTGGATTTCTTTCCTCTCTTAGACTGCTTTGTGCATAAGGAGGGCTAGGAAGGGAATGGTGGGTGTGTAAAAAGCTCCATATATATACACTCACTCACCTACCCGCCCAGACTCCTGCACCCTCAACAACAGGCCCATCATGCTCAGCAACTCACTCCCTAACACTCCCACACTCACTCACCGTCCACCCTCATTCACTCACTCTGCAATTCATCCACCTCAACCTTTTCTCAAACCTGTCCAGACTCTCACACTTATGCATTCATTCACTTACCAACCTGCTCACCTTCATTCACTCAGTAGTCTGGTGACTGTCACTCACTCACCAACCTGCTCTTGTACTCAACAATTTGATTTCATTCACTTACAGACCCACTCTCACTCACTGTCTCACTAACCTATCCACATTCACAGAGTTAATCATTCACTCACTCACCAATCTGCCCTCATTCACCTACACACCCACAGAGATTGGTCACCAATTCTCCCACCCACACTCACGCAGCAATTAATCACTCTTCATGACCTTCCTGTCTCTGGCCCCTAGCTTCTCATTCTACCCTTCCCCACTGCTGGTCTGACTCTCATTTTCTTCCCCAAAAAAGCCCTGAAGGCAGCCTGACCTCTATGTTCTCGCCAACCAGCAAGCAGCATCAAGCCAGTTCCTCTCCCCTCAAGCCAGTCCTTTGAACCCTTTCAGTCTGGTGCCACAGACTCTCTCCTGCTACTCCAGGCCTTGGGCTGGGTTAACTAAGCCATATTTTGTTGCTTGCTGCTCCTCCAATCACAGATTATGTCTCTCCTGTATTTAAGGAATTATGAGGGGAATTGGTGGAATGATAATGTCACTGGACTAATATTCCAAAACCCCACCACGTGTTCTGGGTACAGGTTTGAATCCTAACATGACATAGCTGCTGAAATTTGAATTTGATAACAACTGGAATAAAAAGCTTGCCTAAAAGTGCCCATGTAACTATTGTCAATTGTCAGAAGGAAAAACCCATCTAGTTCACTAATATCTTTTACAGACAGAAATCTGTCATCCTCACCTGGTCTGGACTACATGTGACTGCAGACCCACAGCATTATGGCTGCCTATTACATGCCTTCTGGCTAATTAGAGATGGACAGCAAGTACTAGCCCAGCCAGTGATTCTCAAGCCCACGGACAAATAAAACATATACTTTTGCTAGGTTTGCTAATGCGCCTATCAGCAGCAAACACAAAAGGAAAATGGCCTCTGATTGGAGGTGCAGATCCTTGCAAATAATCCATTTAGATTTAATTGTGTTTTGACCAATGGCCTAGCAGCTCTCTTGTAGCCTATAGATTTTTTGTCGTGCAAACCTGAGTTCAAAATTTTTTTAGTAATGCAGCTTTATTTTCTTTATTAAGAACGAGAGAACTGGAAAGATGTTTTCTTCCTTAAAGCATTATGAGTTGAGAAATTGTTCCATTCACTATCAGTGTTTTGCAATTATAACAGACCATAGCATATTATGTGTCTTTGTTGGTCTCCAATATCTTTAAGACTTCTCAAACTTTTAAAACCTTTTTGTTAAAAGACTTTCTAATACAAACTCCCCTTCAAACTTCAGTGGCAAAACCTATTTTTGAATCATGCTTTAGTCATTCTGTCTCAGCAGGTTTTCTAATTTGTTTTAGCTAGCAATATTTCTTCAGCTGGTTTCTGAACACAATGAACACACTTGTATGGTGAGATTCACATGGGAGTCAGGACTTCCTTCAATTGAAGATTTCCAAGGCTCTAAAAGCCTCATTTAGATTTTTTAAAACTCTAGTCTCAGGTCTTAACCTTCTCTTAGCGACTAAAAGGTAGAACAATCCTGGTCTTCTCAGAGTTCTGTGACCTGCAATTATCATCCACAGACTATCCCAGGAGTTCTTAATTGAATGTTTTAAACAAATTTAATAATGGAATAAGTGTAATTGAGTCTGCTTATTGATTATTGCCCAATAAAATGTCTTACTCAATTAATAGTTTGGCTTTAATAGTAACAGAATGCATGCACTGTAATTTGTAGATGCAGGTTATATAGAACAAAGAACAAGAACAAAGAAAATTACAGCGTAGGAACAGGCCCTTCGGCCCTCCAAGCCTGCGCCAATCCAGATCCTCTATCTAAACCTGTCGCCTATTTTCCAAGGATCTGTATCCCTCTGCTCCCTGCCCATTCATGTATCTGTCTAGATACATCTTAAATGACACTATCGTGCCCACCTCTACCACCTCTGCTGGCAACGCGTTCCAGGCACCCACCACCCTCTGCGTAAAGAACTTTCCACGCATATCTCCCTTAAACTTTTCCCCTCTCACCTTCAAATCGTGACCCCTAGTAATTGAGTCCCCCACTCTGGGAAAAAGCTTCTTGCTATCCACCCTGTCTATACCTCTCATGATTTTGTAGAGCTCAATCAGGTCCCCCCTCAACCTCCGTCTTTCTAATGTAAATAATCCTAATCTACTCAACATCTCTTCATAGCTAGCGCCCTCCATACCAGGCAACATCCTGGTGAACCTCCTCTGCACCGTCTCCAAAGCATCCACATCCTTTTGGTAATGTGGCGACCAGAACTGTACGCAGTATTCCAAATGTGGTCAAACCAAAGTCCTATACAACTGTAACATGAATTCACCCAATTCACACAGTTAAAATGAAAATGATCATTCATTAACTAAAAAGTGTGAACTCTCGTCAATTTCATTTTGTCATCCCCAGCACATGCATTGCATATGTTGCTTTTAAAATATGCAGGTCTCCTAAAGGTTGTCGGCTGTTCATATGATATAAGCTCCTTCAAGGGCAATGTTCTTTCTTGGGAGAGTGTTGTTCATACGATGAGTGCTGTTACCATGGTAGTTTTTGCTCACCCATTTCCATTGCTTGGGAATGGTGGATCTCTGGAACTGATGGCTGTTCTGTACTTTGTGCCAGTGGTGAGATTATATCTTCCTGATCAGCTGCCTGTAGTGAAGTCACAGCTTTCCTTGTGCATACAGACCTGTGGATGCAATAGTACATCTAGTTGTTAATGTTCACTGCATCTGATCAGTTATTGAACATGGATCCCAGGTTTTTTCTAAGTTGAGACCAATAAATGTTTGCACAATAACTTGCTCTCCACTGCACAGTTTTACCAAAGTGAAATTTCAGCTTTCTGCCATTTCATTTGGATTTTGTTACTTGCACCTTGCTACTACTTCTGGGCTCAATAACTTTTTCCTGATGGAAGAGTAGTTTGGCTCCAGTGTGACATTACTGTTTGGATTGAATGGTTTCAGGAGATGTATTTTATTACTCAAGGCCTTGTATAAGTTTTGCTCAATTTAGTTATGATTCTTTGGTGATTTTTACTGCCGTATCAGCCTTTCCATTTGACTGGGGATGCTGTTGACTTGATCTATGATATTGGATTCCCCGACTCTTCAGAAAACAGCTGCATTCTTTACCTATGAATTGAGGCCATTGCCGCACACCACAATTTCTGGAATGTCCTGATGACTAAAGTGTGGTGTCAGGCATCCTACAATCTCAGTGGTGGTCAGGTGGTAGTTATAGAGTCATAGAATCAGACAGCATAGAACTAAGCCCTTTGGCCCTCCATGTCTATGCTGACCAACAAACACTAAACTTCACTAAACCCATTTACCTACACTTGATCCATAGCCCACTAGGTGCTGGCATTTTAAGTCCTCATCCAGATGCTGCTCAAATGTGGTGAGAGTGTCTGCCTCTATCACCCTCAAAGGCAGTATGTTCCATATTTCTACCATCCTCTGAGTAAAAAAAAATTCTCAAATCTCCTCACCTTAAACTTATGCCCACTGGTCTTAGACAAGTCTGCCATGAGGAAAAGATTCTCACCATCTACCCTGTCTATGCTTCTCATCATTTTATATATCTCAATCAGATCCCCCCTCAGGCCCTTCTGCTCCAAGGAAAACAAACCCAACCTGTCCAGTCTCTCCTCATAACTGAGATTTTTCATCCCAGGCAACATCCTGGTGAATCTCCTCTGCACCCTCACCAGTGCAATCACGTCTTTCTGATATTGTAGTGACCAGAACTGCACACAGAATTCCGTTTGTGGCCTAACCAATGATCTATAAAGTTGTGACAAGACTTCCCTGTTCCTATACTCTATGCCCCAGCTAATAAAGGCAACCGTCCCATATTCCTTCTTCACCATCCTGGTTACCTGTCTGGCACCTTCAGGGATCTATGGACTTGTACACCAATGTCCCTTTGTTCCTTAGTGCTCTCTGGAGACCTACCATTCATTGTTTCGATCCTTCCCTTATTAGAACTCCTTAAATGTATCAGCTCGTACTCATCAGGATTAAATTTCATCAGCCATTGTTCTGTCCAATTTACCAGCTGATCAATATCAGACTGCGGTCTGACACCATCCTCCTTGTGATCAACAGCACCATCAATTTTTGTGTCATCTTCTACATTCACATCCAAATCATTAATGTGCATAACAAACAGCAAGGATGCCAGCACTGATACCAGTGGCACACAGCTGTTCACAAGCTTCCAACTACAAAAACAACCCTCCACCATTATCTTTCATCTCCTATTTGAAAGCCAATTTTGGATCCAGTTTGGTAACTTGCTCTAGATCTCATAGGCTCTTACCTTTTGGACCAGCCTTCCATGTTGAACTTATCAAAGGCTTTACCGAAGTCCATTTAAACTATATGAACTGTGCTACCCTCATCAGTATATTTAGTCACCCTTTCAAAAAATTCATTTAGGGGACAGACAGGATTTCCTCCAACAAATCCGTGCTGACTATTCCTGATTAATTCCCACCTTTTCAAGTGTTGATTAATCTTGTCTCTCAGAATTTTTTCTAATAATTTCCCTATCACTGCCCTATTCCTGCTGCCTTTCTTGAACAAAGGAACCATATTAGCTATCCTCAAGGCATCTGGCACTTCTCCTATGGCCAGCGAAGTATTAAATATCTCTGCTAGGGCCCCAGAAATCTCCTCCTTTGTCTCTCACAGCAGCCTGGGATACATCTCATTAGGTCCTGGGGATTTATGCACTCTTATGCCTGCTGAAATATCTAATACCTTCTCCTTATTAATCTTAACATTTTCCAGAACACCACTATTCCACGGAAATCTCCAATCACAATGTCTTTCTCCTTTGGGAGTACAGATGAGAAATATTCATTTAAGACCTCACACACATCTGCTCGCTCCATGCAAAGATTCACCCTTTGGTCTCTAACAGGCCCCATTCTTTCCTTTATAATCCTCTTACTCTTAATATATTTATAAAATGCCTTAGGCTTTTTCTTAGTCCTATCTTCCAAAGATATTTAGTGGTCCCTCTTTGCCCTTCTAATTTCTTTCTCAAGCAACCCCCTAAACTCGCGATACTTTTGAAGGTGATAGTGACAAGAAAATCAGTTCTCATGAGAATGACGAGGTCTACTCAAGCTTCAGTGCTGGCCTGTCTTGGATGTCATGTGTTTTATGCAGTTCTTTAGCACAGGCTGATGTGGTCTTATTCTCATAACTCACATTTAGCCAATTGAGAACTCCTCTTGCTTTCCTCAGACAAGACTTATTTCCTTTACGGCATAGATGTGCTTCAGCATCTCTTTTCTCATCTCCTAAGGGATAATGATTCTATTTCCATTCTACTAGGTGCTAGCTTGGGCTATCACTTTATCTCTGAATGTCTATTGCTCTCTTCTAGAGACATGTATTCTTTTTTATTCCTGAAGATTTGCAGCTTGCTTGGTTTGAGTAAGATGCTTTGTCTTTCAGATTCTATGTCCCGACTGGGTTATTGACTTTCTGGCCATGTCAAATTGTTGTTTCACATTGGATCTTGAAGATTTCCCATTCTGTCTTAGTAGTCTCAATTTTCCTCACAGGGAGTGTGGCTCCTTGCAGCATGGTGACAATTGTCCATCTGTTTTCATTCCATGTTTTTGACATCTGGATGGTTTCTCCACTAAATAAATAGTATTATTTATAGATGTTTTGAAGCAGTCGGTAGTGATTTGATGAAGGTCTTCTGAAGCAGCTTGTTGATAGTTACTAGTACAAGCTTCAGACTTGTTTCAACTGAGATCTATGGATTTAACTTACATCTAATATCTGGAACATCAGATGTTCGTTCATCCTGTCATTTCAGACTCCCAGCTTCACTTCACCTTTTGGGATGATGACCATTTCACCATGTAGTCTCACCCTTACTTTTGAGGCCTTCATTTAATAAACCAATTACAGAAGTCCATAAGCGGTAATGGTATGGAATTTTAACTTTCCAAACATAGACTGGGACTGCCATGGTGTTAAGGGCTTGGGTGGAGAGGAATTTGTTAAGTGTGTACAAGAAAATTTTATTATACAGTATGTGGATATACCTACTAGATAAGGAGCAAAATCTGACCTTCTCTTGGGAAATAAGGTAGGGCAAATGACTGAGGTGTCAGTAGGGGAGCACTTTGGGGCCAGTGATGATAATTCTATTAGTTTTAAAATTGTTATGGGAAAGGATATACTGGATATAAAAGTTAAAGTTCTAGATTGGAGGAAGGCCAATTTTGATTCTGTTAGGCAAGAACATTCAAAAACTGATTGGGGGCAAATATTTGCAGATAAAGGGATGGCTGGAAAGTGAGAAGCCTGCAAAAATGAGATAACACAAGTCCAGAGACAGTATGTTCCTGTTAGGATGAAAGGTAAGGCTGCTAGGTGTAGTGAATGCTGGATGACTGGAGAAATTCATGTTCCAGTCAAGAAAAATAAGGAAGCATACATCAGGTATACATAGCAGGGATCAAGTGAATCTCTAGAGGAGTACAACGGTAGTGGGAGTACGCTGAAGGGGACATGACAGCTTTGGCAAATAAAGCTAAAGAGAATCCAAAGGGATTCTACAAATACATTAAAGACAAAAGGGTAACGAGGCAGAAAATAGAGCCCCTTAAAGATCAGCAAGGCCACCTACGTGTGTGACCACAGAAGACGGTTGAGATACTAAATGAGTATTTTGCATCAGTGTTTACAATGGAGAAGGATGTGGAAGATAAAGAACTAGGGGAAATAAATAGCAAAATATGAAAAATATCCATATTACAGAGGCGGTATTGCTGGCGTCTTAAAATGCATAAAGGTGGATAAATCCCAGGGACCTGATCAGGTGTACTCTAGAACTCTGTGGGAAGTTCAGGAAGTGATTGCTGGGCCCCTTGCTGAGATATTTGTATCATCGATAGCCACAGGTGAGGTGCCGGAAGACTGGAGGTTGACTAAAGTGGTGCCATTATTTAAGAAAGGTGGTAAGGAAAAGCCAGGGAACTATAGATCAGTAAGCTTGACATCAGTGGTGGGAAAGCTATTGGAGGGGAGTCTGAGGGACAGGATTTACATGTATTTGGAAAGGCAAGGACTGATGAGGGATAGTTAAAATGGTTTTTTGTGTGGGAAATCGTATCTTGATTGAGTTTTTTTGAAGAAGTAACAACGAGCATTGATGAAGTCGAAGCGGTGGACGTGGTCTATATGGACTTCAGTAAGGCGTTTGACAAGGTTCCTCATAATAGACTGGTTAACAAGGTTATATCACATAGAATACAGGGACAACTTGCCGTTTGGATACAAAATTGGCTCGAAGGTAGGAGACAGAGGGTCGGGGTGGAGGTTTGGCTTTTTGGACTGGAGCCTGTGACCAGCGGTGTGCTACAAGGATTGGTGGTTTTTGTCCTTTATGTGAGTGATTTGGATGTGAACATAGGAGGAAGAGTTAGTAAGTTTGCAGATGCCACCAGAATTGGTAGTGTAGTGGACAGCCAAGAAGGTTATCTCAGAGTAAAACGGAACCTTGATCACATGGGCCAATGGGCTGATGAGTGGCAGATGGAGTTTAATCTAGATAAACATCAGGTGCTACGTTTTGACGGGGGAAATCAGGGCAGGACATATACACTTGATGGTAAGGTCCTGGGGAATGTTGCTGAACAAAGAGACCTTGGAGTGCAGGTTCATAGTTCCTTGAAAGTGGAGTTGTAGGTAGACCGGATAGTGAAGAAGGTGTTTGCTATGCTTGCCTTTATTAGTCAGTGCAGTGAATATAGGAGTTGGGAGGTCATGTTGCAGGACATTGGTTAGGCCACTTTTGGAATCCTGTGTTCAATCTGGTCTCCCTGCTATAAGAAGGATGTTGTGAAATTTGAAATGGTTCAGAAAAAATTACAAGGATGTTGCCAGGGTTGGAGGGTTTGAGCTGTAGGGAGAGGCTGAATAGGCTGGGGCTATTTTCTTTGGAGCGTCAGAGGCTAAGGGATGACCTTATAGATGTTTATTAAATTGTGAGAGTCATGGATATAGTGAATAGTCAGGGTCTTTTCCTCAGGGTAGGGGAGTCCAAAACTAGAGAGCATAGGTTTAAGGTGAGAGGGGAAAGATGTAAAAGGGACCTAAGGGGCAACATTTTCACACAGAGGGTGGTGCATGTATGGAATGGGCTGCCAGAGGAGGTGGTGGAGGCTGGTACAATTACAATATTTAAAAGGCATCTGAATGGGTGTATGAGTAGGAAGGGTTTAAAGGGATATGGGCCAAATGCTGGCAAATGGGACTAGATTAATTTAGGATATCTGGTCAGCATGGACGAGTTAGTCTGCTTCCATGTTGTACATTTCTACGTCTCCATGCCTCTAAGTCTGTGATGCTCATAGATTACACAAAGAAGCAGTCCTTGTATCCTGCACCTTGATTTCAATGTGTAAATAATTAGCAATGTCCTATCCATTCCACAACTCCATCTTGAGTATGTAATAGTAGGTCAATATTTTCCATCTATGGTTTATTTTCACAATGTTTTCTTGTTTTGTCTGAGAACATAGACAACTGCTGGACTGTTTTCAACCATGTCAGTTCCCTGCTAGTACCTCATCCGAGTAACTATTTTTGTTAGAGTGTTGACGAGTGATTTAACAATGGAGGAGAGCAATATCACAAGAAATTTATCCTACTCATGACTCAAAGTCTGCACACATGCACTGTGAGTCTGAAGTCATCAGTGGTGATCAGAAGCGGGAACCTGGCTGATTTTCTCCTTCCCAGCTCAGGCAGCTGAGGCAGTAATAGGATACTTGATGTTGTATTAGCAAAGGCCAGCTACAGCCTTTTTATTCTGGAGACACTATTCCTACTTCGAATGGTGTCTGATTCAGGGTGGAGGTGAGAGTGGATGTCAGGGGTCCTGCTATGCAAGAGGTGAGGCAAGGTGTAGGTCAGGGGTGTGTGGCAATTTGAGGTGTTAACATATAGTTACCCAGGATTTAGACTCAGTTTTAGATCAACTTTTAATTCATTAAATTAGAGCTTTCCAGATGAAAGGGAGTTATCCATTAAAATCTTCAATTTCCCAGGAAACATGCATGGAATCTGTTGTGTTTGGATTTCCATCATTTCATGTTTCCGGGCACCGCTACATTGGTTTACTAGTTCACATACTAAGATATTTTATAGAAGTTACATGCAACAATTTCTATTTTTCCAGTCAACCAAGAAGTCTGCCTGCTGATACCAATCAAAGGGCCCTGTAAGGCCTCAATCCGTTAGTATTTTTACAACATAATTTTTAAGACTTGTGACCATTTCAAATACAGTGGCTGTGATGGTAATGGAAATAACTTTCGCACTGTGAGTGAATGCGCGCTGTATTGTCAAGGAGCCAACAGTAAGTTTACATGGAAGTATTTTTTCCTGTTATGCAATGGGCAGCTCTATAACAAGTTAGGAAAAAGAAATGTAACAGGAAGGGTGCGAGTTCCTGCCTATTGGAGCAGTTTTAAATAGTGCTTGAATAATTGAAACACTAAATTGCACAATTGAGGCCTGCAAACTACCCTTCGGAGAACAAAATGTGATTTTATACTTATTCTCATGCTGAGTGGACTTCTGTTAAGGCAAGATTTAAAATATTCCCTGCTTTTGAAAATAAACTATCTTCGAAATATGTTTGAGATCATCCTACAGAAAATTTTACATCTTTACTGAACACACATTTCCAAGAATGACTTCAAATTTTGATTATTGTAATTCATTCCTCGAAACCCTTATTCCACTCCACCCATATTGATGCTGTCAAAATAGTATTTTTGCTTAAAGTGCTTTCATGAGACAATTTATGAGAAAAGACTATTTTCTTTGTCCACAGCATTTTAATTTTTTCTTCTTTGCAGACATTTCACTGTTAAAACACCGTACGTGGGACAGAATGAGGAGGTGTGCTTCCCCCTGCAACCACCAGCCCCACCTCCTCCTCCACCCAAGCTAATCGTCTTCCCTGGGAACAGTCACCAATTCCCCACCCGCTGAAACCCTCTACCAATCAAATACCACATCATCCCTCACTGATCAGAGATTGCTATGTTTCAAATCCAGCACCCTCTCTTGATCCCATTCATAGTTACCTGCTCCCTACCTGGGCTTACATTTCTCTGGAATGCTCCCTACCTGGTGCCATGTCTGCCAATCACATTGACTTCAAGATGGGTTCTTGTCAAAAAAAACACATTGATATCTGAATTTCCCAGGCAAAACACTACCCTTGGTCCTGATTTTGAAAATCTGCACTTTGGAGTATCAGGGGTTTATAAGACAGAGCAGTGTTCTTTAACTTATCATGAAGCCTGGCTAGAATAAGTATATCAGATTTCACTTCCACCTGAAACTAGTATCAATGATGCCAGGCTGACTGGCAGATGTCACGCAAGGGCTACATCATATCATGGAAGTTAAATACAGTGGAAAATATGGCTAAAGCCACCCTCCTGTTATATGGTTTATACTGTGGTCATGTACTATCGACCCATCTGAGGTGGATTGCCTGCCACCAATCAATATTAATATTCCACTAAGTTACAAAAGTAAGTGGCCAAGCAGTCAATTCTGGCACTGCAGCCTGTTAGCTCCTACCAGGAACACTTATATCCTGATAACCAGAATGTATCCCATAGGTGTATCATCACCTAGAAAGAGAAATCTCATTATCCAGATGAGATTTTATAACAGTTGACAAAGATTTCATGGTCATCATTATATTAACATTCAGTTCCAGTAAGATTACTATTATACTACAACAATAGTTGGACAAGTATCAGTCAGGATTCCAGGATCCTGATTTCATTTTTGGACTTGTAAGATGCAAATTGAGCCCATTCTGAATGTCTAAAACCTAAGCCCACCTTCAAACCTCATTCCAATTATATTTTTGTCTCTGGGAGATGTGCAAAGATAGTGGTTAGGTTTTCTTCTCAAGTTGTCAATTGGTTGTAAAAACAAACAAGCACTGATTAATTTATTTTATGAAAGATAGATAATAGAAACGTAGAGTCATACAGCATGAAATAAACCTTCCAGTCCAACTTGTCCGTGCCAACCAGGCATCCCAATTCTAATCCCATTTGCCAGTATTTGGCCTATTTCCCCGTAAACCCTTCCTATTCATATTCCTATTCAGATACCTTTTAATTCTTGTAATTATACCTGCCTCTACAACTTCCTCCCCCAGCTGTTCCATACACATGTTGCTCCTTGGGTCCTTTTTAAATCTTTCCCCTCTCAACTTAAACCTATGCCCTCTAGTTTTGGACTCCGAAACCTTAGGAAAGAGACCTTGAGTATTTACCCAATCCAGGTCTCTCATGACTTTATAAACCTCTGTAATGTCACCCGTCAGTCTCTGATGTTTCAGGGAAAAATGGCCCCAGGCCCCAGCTTATTCAGCCTCTACCTATAATTCAAGCCCTCCAGTCCCGGCAACATCCTTGTAAATCTTTGTGCACCCCCTCAAGTTTAACAACATCCTTCCTAGCGAAGGGTGACCAGAATTGAATGCAGTATTGTAAAAGTGGCCTCACCAATATCCTATACAGCCGCAACATGATATCCCAAATCCTAGAGTTAATGTTCTGAGCAATGAAGGCAAGCGTGTCAAATGCCTTCTTCACCAGCCTGTCTACCTGCGGCTCCATTTTCAAGGAACTATGCACTTGCACCCCTCAGTCTCTTTGTTAGGAAACATGCCCCAGGGCCCTACCATTAACTGTATAAGTCCTGCCTGGTGTGCCTTACCAAAATGCAATATCTCACATTTATCTAAATTAAGCTCCATCTGCCACTCCTCAGCCCATTGGTCCATCTGATCAAGGTCCTGTTGTACTCTGAGAAAAACTTCACTGTCCACTACACCATCTATTTTGGTGTTATCTGTAAATTTACTAAGCATACCCATTCACATTCAAATCATTTATACAAATGACAAAAAACAGTGAATCACTTTAATAACCTTTTAAATTGTCAATGAAACTATGAAATCATCCCCTTGCTGAGGTAAATGAGCTTTGAAACTCAGCCATACATTCAAATTAGTCCCATCCATCAGAGGAAATCCTGGGATTTGTTATCAATGAAGTCCATTGAAATGAAAAACGGATACTTTTTCAAAGTTGGCTCTGATGTGTTTTCCAGTTCAAGCAGATGAAGTGAAGCAAGTGGTTATATTTCTCTAAACATTCAATATCAGGACATTGTTTTCAAAGATAATGTGTTTGAACATTTAAATAACAGTTTCGTTCATTGCAACAGTGTGTCCTAGTGTGTTTTGTTTTGCTGTTTTGAATGCATTATGGCACTGAAAAATTCAGTGCATCTCAATACTTAAAAAATGCTGGTCAATATAATGGTCAATTAATCTATTCAGGGTAGAATGCAACACTGAGTACAATTATCAAAAGATATCTAAGTTGAACTGTAGCAACAGAAAATAACATTTAAGGTTGTCAAAATATTTTTGCACTGTTATGACCTCAGCTGATGGTAATACTGTAGAAGTTAGATTCCAAATTGATTTTCTCCATTGCTGCCTCTCCCAGAAATATAAAACTACAAGATTAATTCACTGACTTATCCATTGAACCTTAGGAAAAACTTATGGTCTTTTCCAGCCCTTATCCTTGAATTATGAAAATAAAAAACTTCTTCAAGCCTGAAGACTTTGCAAACTCCAACGGCCTTCTTGGTTGAGTCTTCTGACCATTTGTTTTTCTGTAGTTGTTAAGGTTCTACCTTGAAAACATTTAATAAGTTAATTCATTGGGGACCTTGCTGGTCACTTAACACAGCTCAGTCTTCCTTGGAAAGAATATTTGAATTCACTGTTCAAACATAACTTTCTGACATCTTAGAAAGAAATCACCTTCGTATAACTGAAAACTATAATCTATTTTCCTCTAATTTAAAATCCAAATTGCCAAATAATAATTATAAACTACAAAATGACGTTTCAACACTTACTTGTTGGGATAAACTCAATTACTAAGCAGGCTTCTCCCAGTGGATATGAATATTCAATAACATGGGAGGTTTTGGTTTAGGGCTTCCAAAGCTAAAGTTGTGGGAAGGGGTCAATTCAAATTTCCTATAGATCTTACAATGGCATCGTTAAACTCAAGAAATGCATGTGGTGTCACAATCCAAGAACTTTTGACCCCTGAAAAGGCCAAAAAAACACTGTGCAGGGATATTGATA